GATTGTCAGTATCATGCAGGTAGCTACATATGTACGTGTCTGTCTGGATTGACTGGAGATTTTTGTGAAGAAAATAGTGAGCACAAATTTATTTTAAACACTTGTTATCATTACCAATAATTCCAGTTCCTACTACAACAGTTGATGATGCTGATAATGTTGGTCTAGCTGTTGGATTGACTGTTGGGATATTGATTCCTCTTGTCATTGTGACACTGATTGCTGTTATTGTCCTGGTACTTGTGATTGTTCGACGTAAAAGAAGCAAAAAGGAAAGTGAGAGAAAATATACAGATCAACAAGAAATGAAACAAGTGCCAAAAAATGTGTACAACTAATAGTAGATAGCTCCAAGTAACTATAACGCTTCATATCATTAGTTGATTTAGTTAGCTGCTACACTCTTTTATATGCTGTTTTTTAGTTTCTTTCGTGAATTGTTTTGTAGCTATCATTTTTTAATAATTATAATCATTGAGACACAAAAAAGTTAAATAGAAAATGATTCATATATAAAGCTATCTATAGCTGACCTTTTTACCAGGAAGCTCTTCAAATCTCGTACAATAATTAATAATAAATGAATACCTTTTTGCCAAAAGAGAATGTAGATCTAATTACATTCTATCTTGTAATGCCATCTTCTCAATTTGCGGCCTCTTCTGCAGATCTGGTGATCGACTCTTAGGATAATTAGTGCTATTAAAGCGATTATTTAATTTAATTTAATTAATTTTATTTCTGATGAGAGAAAGAAATAATATAATTTACTGATATACATGTACTTATATCGTGTAGTAAGTTTGAGCTGATTCTGATCACATTTGGATTGCAATAATTACAATTAATTAATTGGATTATAAAAGTTATAAATTTTATAACTTAAAGGTCATTAATATTCATATGCATTGGGTTGCATGTCACAAAGCTCGAGTAAAGAGAAGACTGGGAAAAGATAGACGAGATGGATGCTGTTCAAGAAGGAGAGAGAACTCCAGTGCAATCTAAGAGAAGACGCTTGTAAGATTATCTCGGCAATTGATCGAATATACATATCAATCTATTATTAAAATATGATTAATATTGTATACTTTATATATATATGCTACGTGATTTTCACACCTAAGTTTTATTTTCTTTCCCCCTCGTTCACTAGGGCCCACCACAGACACAGAGCTCAGAGTATCATCCAGTTTCAAAGCCTCGACCAACTAGAAGATGAAGTGACACACGGGTACTACGAGACCACCCCAACCAGACAAGGGAGTCGCAAACGTGTCATTCTCATCGAAATCCTCAACGGTAGCGAATTACCAGTGTCAATATTACATTTGCATCCTTTTAATTAGGGTTGTTATGGTGGATTTGTTTCGGACAATTATCCTGCCTTCTTCATAGTAATTCCCCTCTCTCGTTATGGCAACAGTTCTCACTTATCGTGTTGATACTAATATTCACTGTATCGTTTACATGTCTGAGTATTCTTAAGAGAGCATGTCTTAGTCACTTTGGTCTCCTATTCTTACGAGTCTCTAGTATCCTAATACTGGTATCGGACTGGTTTTATTTGCCGCTGGTGGGCGGAGTGATTGGAGGCGTGGCTTGTTTCCTATCGCTGATGAGTGGGTTATGGAATTTATCAATTTTGGACAAGTAAGAGGAATAGAGGATATTGACAGATTGAAGTGTACAGTGTGAACATTAAGTCATGTCATGACCAGGCCTGGGGTCAATTACAATTAAATGTAATCTATTACTATTACTATTACTTGAAAATTTTAACTATTATATTACTATTACTATTACAGCCTTTTTTCAAAGTAATCTATTACTATTACTATTACAACAAAGTATATTACTATTACAATTACTATTACAATACGCCATAGATTTTTATAGGTTACTAATAAAAATAATCTACTTTTGAAGTTAATCTAAGCCATTTTATAGTTTCTAATTAAGAATGCTTTGTTATATTTATGATAAAAAGTCTCAGTACCGAGCAATAGTTCCTGGCTAACGTGCTATTTTCCTATTGTTACTTATTAGTGTAACACTACAAGTAATAGCTATGTAATATTGAGATTACATATTACTTTGATCATTATTACTATTACTATTACTATTACTTCCTGTTGCCAAAGATTCTATTACTATTACTATTACTATTACTTGGTGCCCTGTAATCGTTACTATTACAATTACTATTACATATTACTATTACCCCAGGCCTGGTCATGACATGTGTACTATACATTATGTAGTAACATAATGTACATGTATGTAGCACTATCAAGCTTAAAATTTAATTTCTATCGACCCAAAAAAGATCAATTGTTGCTACATGATAGAGAAAAGTAATTGATCATTACTATTGTTGGTACGTTGTATATGTAGTTCTCATAGCTCATTAAAGCATAATTGCGTGTTCTTGTAACAATCAACTTACAATATGATCTCTTACATCTACAAATCAACTTACAATCTCTACATTGTTGTAAAGACAATGCCATTTTTTTCTATAGTAAATAAAGTCTTGTTTTATGAGTGATTTTGTAAAATTTATTTACTAGCGTGTTCTTTAACAATCAACTTACAATATGATCTCTTACAACTCTACAAATCAACTTACAAGCTCTACAATACAGTATATTATTGTTGTAAATACAATGCCACCTTTTCTATAGTAAATAAAGCCTCTTGTTTTATGAGTGATTTTGTAGAATTTATTTATGAGCATTGGCATCATGCTGATGTTTGGAATTCTTATTTTTGATAGCATAATTTGTTGACAAGGTTAGCAAAGCATACCTTGTTACACTATTCCTGGTATTTAACAACTGAATCCTTTGGCTGCTTTAGGAAATAGGAAAGCTAGACAGCAACTTGTTGATTTGTTGTTATTTTCTATTTACAATAGAGCACTTACCATGTATGAGGTGTGCTGCAGCATGCCTGTCTTTTCTATTGTACATTCTGTTTTAGTACGTCTGAATGTGTGATTGTGTATAATTAATGTGAATTTGAATAAAGTGTACACCAAGGACACTTTTCATTGTTTTTGATCTGCTTCATTATTTTCTAGCATCCAGCACAATGCATTGATGTGTGATTATAAAAATAATGGGAATTTTAATTCACACTATTAATTTTGTAAGGGTATATACATGTATATACTTTCATTCATGTGCATCAATGACATATTGTGCTTGTGCACATTTATAAGTAGTTTACATGCTCTGAGGTGCTTCATTGTTTTCTAGCATGCAGGACAGTGTAAACACTGTAGTATCAATGCGATAAGTCTGTGTGTACTTAAGTGTATACTTAAGTTGATTATTATTGTATTCCTTTTTATGGTCATTAGTTTTAATGTTAGTTTAATTGTATGTGGGATGACCACTGTTGATTTGCAGCTGTTTATCTTTACCCTCCCTCTCTCTCTGTCACTCATTCTCTCTCCCTCCCTCTCTCTCTCTCCCTCCCTCTCTTTCTCTCCCTCCCTCTCTTTCTCTCCCCCTCTCTCTCTCTATCTTTTTTCTCCTACTATCCCTTTCTTCCTTCAGGTATAGGAAGATCCATTTCCATCTATTAGCTCTCATTTTACTACAGATAATGTCATTTTGGTTCCCAGCCTTTTCTCGCTCCTTCTTCCTCTCTTTCTACATTGGTCCCTCACTAGGACTGGTCATCACTTGCATTACTTTTACTCAGGACCACAGGACTCCTCTCGTTAGCAGTGACAAGTTATCCGGTCGGAGAGACTCCAGAAAGTCCTCCTTGGTGTGTGCTAATCGATCCGAATGGGCGTGGTTAGGGGCTGGGTTTGGTTGTCATTTGTTTATAGCCTGGGCAGTTTATGGGTTGAGTGGAATGGCTAGCGAGTGGGAGGATGGCAGTAGCACTCTTTCGACTCAAGTATTAAGGTAATTGGGTTTAATTGGTATTATTTATTGAGGTCATTCTAAATAATTTAAGTTAAACGTCGTTGGGTATTTTTTTTAGTGTATTAATATTATTATTTTATTATTATTTTTTTAATTTTTATTACTGTATTTGTTAAAACAATAAATGCTAAGCATGTGCATAAAAAAGTTATAATAAAGTTAAAATAAAAGAGTAATAATAATAATAATGACAAAGATGATGGTGGTGATAGTAATAACATATAATTAGTGAATAAGAGAATTGTATTATTAATATTTTAATTATTTTATGCTATTATTATTACTTTAAATTTTGATTATTTTAGGGTCCTAGTCATAGCAGCTTTCTGTGGGGGTGTGTTGCTAGGCAATGAGAGTAACCTCCCCCTCATCTGTTCGTACCAGTGGCTGACAATGGGAGGGATTGGCTATCTATTGTTTGTCTATTGTAATTCATCAACAGCTGCTCTTGGTCTCCTATTAGTATCACTACATATTATGTCACTATTACCCCAACTCTACTCACGACTAACGGAATACACTCCGTCCAATGTCCTACCTGTCGCCATTGTCACGTACCTCTGTCTTCTTTTAATCAGTCGAGTGGATGTGGGCGGAGTCAAGCTCTCGACGTTCGTTGTATTGGTGAGTGTCATTTTCCAGTGGTGTGGATTGAGGAAGTGGCTACCTTTGGGTGTTGAGTTAGGTGCGTGTCCTCTTATTATATTCGTATTTTTTTGTGGTTGATTGTCATGTTAGCAAGCCAGTGTGTGCCGCCCCACAAGTGTATTTTGACATATTCACAGTGTTTAATTTAGTGAGTATCATTTAAAGAGTTGTGTCCCTAATAAAAGGACATATAATTAATGTCCTGTTTTAGCAATAGATAGTCCAGAATATAGCCAGTTTGGTTTGCTACTACTGAAGAAGTGAAGAACTTTTTTGTACAAGCAACCAAGGGCCATTAAGATGTGCAAAAATGGTACACTTCAGATTTGAAATATATTTGAAATAATGATTGAAAAGAATCACTATTAGGCTTATTTTGTTTGATTTTAATACAAATCTATGTCCCGTGCTCTGTTAGAGTTTGTTGGCACTCATCATATCAATCGTTGGCATCATTGCCAGTCTTCATTCTCCCTATCTCTCATCTCATTTTTATTGCTTGTGTAGGCATAGTAAAGGACAATAGTCTGCCAGTCAGCAATGATGCTAAAAAAAGGCGTCCCTCCTATACTATGATGGTTGGACGGATGATAAGAAGATTATCAACTGTACAGGAGCAAGAGGAGGAGATAGAGGAGGTGGAGGAGGAGGAAGAGGAGAGAGAGAATGGAGGAGTAGCAATGAGTAGTATTCATCGGAGGAGATTGTTAGAACTTCTAATTGAACAAGAGGCCGAGATGAGGCATTTTGAAGTAAAGAAACTAAGGCAAGGTAAGAATTATAATACTTCTATTTTTGCTATTCAGCTGTTGTTTTTTTATGATGTCAAGTATCGTCATTATGATTGTTAAGTTTATTTTTTTTTTCTAGTAATTCTGTGCCTTATTGTATTGGCTGTGCTGTGTGCTGCTTCAGTATAATTATAAACTCTATTATTATTTATTTCATGCAGTAAAAATCCAACATTAAGAGAATAGCAATTATTTATTTTTTGTCACTATAATCTTTGTACAATAGAAATTTCAATTTTGATGATTGATGATTATAATTTTGCTTTAAAGTCATCATTTAAAAAACTCACAAACTTCATTGGAAACCAGCTATTTTGCATATAGTATCCAATAGTCTATGCCATATACTGCTGCCTGTGTTCTTTCCTGATACCTTCTTCTCAACAGTACACATGATGGAATCTCGAACAGATACACTGATATTAGTTAATGATAACCAGTGACTAATGATTTCATCTTCTTTGGGTCCATTATTAGCACTTGATATTGAGATCAGGTCAGTAATCAAGATCAGTTGACTCAAGTAAGTCTCTTTGAACATTAGTGATTTATCTGCAGTGTATGCTAGAGTTTGAGGCGAGAGGGAGAAGAATTTATTGATAAAGGAGCAGGTGAGGTCCTTTTCAAAGTGTCCCGATAGCCAGTGAATAATATCCTCATGAATGTCTTTTGTTAATGTAGAATCATGCCCCTGCATGCCCTCACCATTATCATGCAAAGCTAAACAAATCAAAATGGACTCCTATAGAGAAAAGAAAAGAGGAATAAACAAAAGTATCAGAGCTAGTATTAATATGCATGTACCCAGAAATATATAAGGGCAACAGCCTTCACTGATTTTGCAAAAAGAGCTCCATAATCATGATATTACATGAAAGGCATGGACTTTAGCTTTGTAAAAACTGAGTTAAGCAAAGGCTCTTAGTCCCATGGAAGTTTATTACTATAAGTAGTTCAGCATGCAAGTGCTCAGTGCTGCTTACCATTCCTCCTTCATCAGTAATAGAGTCAAACCTCTGCTTCATTACTGTAGCTATATCTCTACATTGAGCACAATAAAACAGTGGCTTCAATGTCTTACATACTGTGCATTGCTTCTTGAATGAGCTAAAGTTTTCCTCAATGATCTGAATTCTTCCATAAAAGCAGTAGCAACAATTAGACTCTCACCTATAATGTTATGGAAAGTGATAGAACAGTAGATCTATGATCATGGTTTAAATTACCAAAGAGAAAGGGAACATGCGGAGCACTTTCTTTGATGGCTGATGATATATCCTTAAGGCTCTGGAGCATTTCCAGATTTTGAGATAGCGACCTTTTGAACTAACAAAATAGCAATGAAAATTGAAGAATTTCATCTTTGCAATTTTTGTTGAAATTTTATGCACTATAGTACAGGGAATTTTGCCCTATTTTGAAGCAACTTAAAAAATTTGCAAAAAAATCCAATTTTAATCAAAATTAGTTCAAACTTTCTAAATGAGAACATGCATGTGTACCAGGAAAAATTAAAAAATAAAGAATTCTCTTCTTTTCAACTTTGGCGAAATTTGGCCATACAAAGAATTTTATCCGATTTTGGAGCAACTTTAAAAAATTGTAAAAAATCCAATTTTAATCACCATCAGTTCAAAACTTTCAAACAATGTGTATACATATTAAGAATTCTCTCCTAACCTCAGAGTAATGACATGCAAGGTCAGGGACTTTCATAACTTCAGCTTCACAGAGTGCTGGATTCTCTACAAGTGCCTATAGCAAAAAAAAAAACATAAAAATACCAATTAATTCTAAACCTTTATTAAGTAATCATAGCTCCTAGTTCCAAGAAACTCAAGAGATAAAGTTTCAATGCCAAACATCTGCTGAAAAGAAGCATCTGCTGTACCCGATTTCCTTGTAGATACTAAAAATCTTTGATTAAATTTATCGTTAAATTCCAGCTGTATTTTTGGTTTTGCTAAAAGTAACTTATCATATGCCTAGAAATAATAAGACAATTAATTATGGTAATACTAATTTGTTAATTTTCATTAGAATAAAAATAAGAAATATAATGAAGTAAAACAGTGAAGGCAGTATTGCAGACCTTTCCAAACAGCTTGCTCCAATTTATAGCTCTTTCAAGATCACTCTGTTTCCACCCAGAGACCTGACTGGTTCTACATATTTTGAGAATACGAATATAATTCTCTGCATTATTCAATAAAGAGTCCATGTCTAATGCCACGCCCCACCAATGGTAGATAGGTCACGTGTTTCCACGTGTTCTTGTAACGATGTTGTAACTATGAAAAATAACTGCAAATATTGATCAACTCATTCAGCCATATACTAAACACTTGATTGTTATGTTCCAGTTCTTAATTTTCTGATATTATCACCAAATTTAAACGGTACACCCCAATTACTGTAGACTGGGAAATGGTCTGGCTGCGAGACTAGGAAACATACCAATTAAAAAAGCTACTTCAAATTTAGTAATAACACAATCATAAGCCAAAATAATAGTTACCTTAGAAAGTGGCTAATCAATATTTTATTTATAACTGAAAGACTAAAGCTACCATGAGAATTAGAATGATACAGTAAGAGAATACATTGTTAGTCAACCACTGAATGAATTGTTTCACTTAAGCTATGGAGATTATCATGAGAATTAGTATAACAATTTTGTTGACTGGATGTAAAAAATTTACTATAAAAAAGGAAGCAAAAGACTAGACACACAAACTGTCTATATTATCATAATTACAAACAGCAAATAATATGCTGCTGTAGTGTAGTGTAGTGCCCCAGTTCTTAATATTCAGATATTATTATTATGTCACTTGATGATTCACTTGCATTCCTCCTCCATTCTTCTTCTTGTTCAATATTGTTAATGGTATGGTTCTCAGCAATTTGATGAATGTTAATTACAACCTCTCTCACATGTAACTTGTATCGTTTAGCAAGGAATATATAAATAAGTAAAATTATTAAGGTCAAAATGGTCAGTGTAAAAAGAAAGAAGGTTCCACGACCCAATGAAGTCTCAGGACTCATGAAATGATGAAATGGATAAAAGATAGTAAATTGAATGAGCCATCTCAAACTCCAGAGGCAGAACCACAATCCTATTACACTTCCTCTCATTGATTTAGGACACTGTGCAAGTATAAATTCGACAAGTACAACACTATAAATATACCAAACAACTCCATCAAAAATAGAACTAAATACAACCCATTGATGGTGAATATGAAATGAATTATCATCATAAGAAGTAAAGCAATGAAACATTTGTCCAAAATGATAATTACCAATGACTGCTAGACCAGTGTAGAAAATATTAAGACCAAGTATTAGTACCAGACCCATTCCTATTTTTTTCAGCATACTAGGAATGTACTTATGAAAACAAGCTAGGATATATGAGAAACTGATGGAGGAAAATGATAAAAATATATGTTACAGAAAGTGATGATTCATCTGAGCCAGTGCATCCATATCCTTCAACCCTTAGTCCTAAAGTATATTCATTAAATAATCCTGATGCCACGGTACAAACAACTACTAGAGGTATTAGTCTAAGAACAGTCTTCACATCTTCTACCTCTTCCTCTGTGAATGGTCCACCATATTTATTCTTACCCAGGTCTAGTCTTGAAGGAGCCTCTTCCTCCCAGTAGGTCAGAGCACTACGATTCTCAGGATACTTGTGCTTCCTGGCATAACACAATACTCTAACTATCAGTTTGACTGGATTAACTGTATTCACAGGAGTAGTATCAAGATAATGATTGAAGAGACTGTGACTGACTAGTACTGCAGCAACACAGAAAACACTAGCTACTAATAGATATATTATTTTTATATGATGTATGGTAATAATATTAACAATAGCAGGCCCCATGTTATGCCAGTGTAGTACAGCAGTTAGTTCACCACTTGATGATCCAATGAGCTGATCAATATTGAATGGTAATATATTAACACGTACAATGGTAATGTTAATAAAAAATAATATGCACAACACCAGCAGTAGGTATGTATACGATGGTAGAAGCATGAAGATAATAATAAAGAGAATTAGTACAATAAATGCAATATATGACCCAACCAGAACAATTTTATATCTGCTCACAATGAAATCGCCAAAATATCCAGCAAGAAAGTAAACAAGACAGAATATCACTGTTATAATATAAAAATACCTAATGGCCAAAATAGCAAAAATTATAACTAAATCCTGGCTAATTGATATCATGAGGTCCCAGAATAGTACCAGTAGTGCTCTCTTAGAGTGTATGAACTGGAAACGATAAGAGGAAGGACAAGAGGAACATCTTCTTCTACTAGTAACTGATGATGAGCTTAATAGAGGAACACTATCAGACATAACTAGTGATTAAAAGTGAGGAAAGAGAGAGCAATAAACAGCAAAACCTTACACTGAGTACTGACTTATTATTGTATCAGTGATACACTTCATTTCCTAACTGAAAGAATACAGCTATCATGAGGATTAGAAGAATACAGTAAGAGAATACATTGCTAGTCAACATGTTAAGCTTACATTACAATGAAACAGTATCATGAGGATATCAGCATCAGTGACAATTTCATTGACTATACTGGATGTTTTATTTTAGACTGACAGCTTTTAGAAAAAAACATATACTAGATCTATAAAATGAAAACAAGAAGCTACAATGGAAAATACAAACACTATGCAACTGCAAAAATCATTAAGAAAGCTTGAGCAATTAGTTAAGTAACAGAAAAGCATTAGTATCAGTTGACTGGCTGGAGAATTCTATTGCATTCCTCCTCCAATATTCTTCTTCTTGTTCAATATTGTTAATGGTGTGGTTCTCAGCAATTTGATGAAAGTTAATTTCAACCTCTCTCACACGTAACTTGTACCTTTTAGCAAGGAATGCATAAATAAAAAATAGAAATAAACACACAATGGCCTGTGTAAGAAGGTAGTAAAAGCCACGACCCAATGGAACCTCTGTGCCCATGTAACAAAGAAATGGCAGGAATGAAATAAATTGAATGTAGGATCTTAAATTCCAGAGGCAGAACCACAATCCTATTACACTTCCTCTCATTGATTTAGGACACTGTGCAAGTGTAAATTCAACCAGTACAACATTGAAGATATACCAAATAACTGCATCAAAAACATTGGTAAAGAGTATCCATTTGTGATGGATAAGGGATGAATGCTCATCAAAAGAAGTAAAGCACTGAAAAATGTGTCCAAAATGATAATTACCAATGACTGCTAGACCAGTGTAAACAATATTGAGGAGAACTATCAGTACCAGACCAATTCCTATTCTTTTCAGCATACTAGGAATGTACTTATGAAAACAAGGATATATGAGAAACTGATGGAGGAAAATGATGAGAATATATGTTACAGGAGTGACCAATCCAAGAACATTATCAGGGCCAGTGCATCCATAATGTTTATGCCTTGGTCCTGCAGCATACTCTCCATAAAATCCTTGTGCCAGAGCACAGAAAAATATCAGTGGAATTAATCTAAGAGCAGTCTTGACATCTTCTACCTCTTCCTCTATGAATGGCCCACCATATTTATCCTTACCCAGGTCTAGTCTTGAAGGAGCCTCTTCCTCCCAGTAGGTCAGAGCACTACGATTCTCAGGATACTTGTGCTTCCTGGCATAACACAATACTCTAACTATCAGTTTGACTGGATTAACAGTATTCACAGGAGTAGTATCAAGATAATTATTGAAAAGATTGTGACTGACTAGTACTGCAGCAATGCAGGTAATACTAGTAATCAATATAGGCATTTTTTCTATACCAAATATGTAGATAGCATTGACAATAATAGGCCCAATATTATGCCAGTGTATGATTGCAGTTAGTTCACCACTTGATGATCCAATGAGCTGATCAATATTGAATGGTAACAGATTAACACGCACAATGACAATAGTAATCAATAATAATATGCACAACACCAGCAGTAGGTATGCATATGATGGTAGAAGCATAAAGATAATAATAAAGAGAATTAGTACAATAAATGCAATACGTGATCCAACCAGAAAAACTTTATATCTGCTTACTAAGAAATCTCCAAAAAACCCAGCAAGAAAGTAAAACAGAGATATAATCAATGTTGCAACATAAAAATAATCTGCAAGGGCAAGTTGGGCAACAAAAGAAAATGCAACAAATAGAAATAAGTTCTGACTAAATGAGACCAATAGATCCCAGAATAGTACCAGTAGTGCTCCCTTAGAGTGTATGAACTGGAAACAATAAGAGGAAGGACAAGAAGAGCATCTCCTTCTACTAGTAACTGATGATGAGCTTAATAAAGGAACACTATCAGACATTATGATGATGATGAAAAGAAAGCAGACAGTTAAAGCACCCGGACCTACTATTTATCATCTGCATGTGTAAATAATGATGTCGCGTACTGAATAGCTAAGTCTATTTGGCACTAGTGAGAATTAGAATAAGACACTAAGAGAACTTAGAGAAGATTATCAAGAGGATTAGTATGACAATAGGTGATTATTCAACCACTTGATGAATGTTTTGAACATTACAACTCAGCTTATTAGCTTCACTCCTTCGCTGCATGAGTAAAAATAGTAGTCAGTTACATTATGGAGAGAGAGAGAGAGAGAGCTAGAACTGCTTATTTCTAAAACTAAATGATACCATCACTTCAGACTATAGTTCAAAAGGCTAAAAAAGCTGTCACAGGATTAAAATGATGCCATAATTTATATACATATCATGTATATACCATTGAAAGAATAATTAGTACATATTATTGTAACAAACACAAAAATTGATGACATGTATTGTTACATTGCATAATGCCAGTTATAATATGCAAGGAAATAAATAAATAAATCACATTCAGAGCTAAAAATAAACAATCAGAGAAACGTACTGAAGATACATGTAGAGAAAAGGGAGAGAGAGAGAGAATGAAATACAGAAGAATGGTTCCTTGACTATAGTGATGATTGCTTTCCTTGAAAAAAGACAAGAATCTTTAGCTAGTGAAGCTCTTAGACATGGGACTCTGTTCTAACTGGCAAGGGTTCTGACTTTTTCTGAATAAAATCAGGCACAGCCCGAGGCTCCTCCTGTATAAAAACCCCGCTACCCTCCTCCTCTATGATACCAAGGACAGAGTCCTTCTCCCCATCATCAACCTCAAACATTAATCCTGCACTAGCAGGAGCATTAGAATCAGACACAGCTCCGGGATAGCTTCCCTCTTGCTGCATTATCTCTAATATTTCTGAATAGCTTGATCTGGTACTTGATGGAGAGCTACTGCAATAGAGAGAATTCGGAGCCGAAAACCAACTTGGGAGTGGACGGTCTGCCCCACGCAGCTGTTCATCAGGTTCGCTGAGACTACAGCTCCGTGGATATATCTCCATCTCTCTGTCTCTTCCTCCTCCCATCTTGATGGAGCTCTTGTGCAAAATGGGTTCAAAGTGCTCCTCTTTAAAACTGTTTGTTCTGCTACTTACTGATTTCGGACGATGTGAGATGCTCCCTCTTGTGGAGCGAGGGGAATCAGTTACTGCTGATGCTAGAGATTGAGTGGAAATGTGAGCTGGATTCAGTATAGGGAATCCAAAGATTTGCTCGATTGACTGCCATCTTTTCTGGAAACTCTCAAAATGCTCTGTGACCATCTGCATCTTGTTACTAAAAATAACAAAAAAACACTTGTTACTAAAAATATCAAGATTCTGGTATTACTATATCACGTATAACATGCTAAATATAGTAACATTGAACTTCTGTTACTAAAAATAGCATGACTTACACAGCTTTGGTTATCATGAGTCCAGCATCTTCAAGAGTTGATGAGTTAGCCAGTCTGAATGCTCCAATGACAGAGGCTCTCTTGCGTTTAATCTTGTCACACTACACATAATGAAATGAATGGACTATAGCTTCAACACATCGGTTTTTAAAGGATAATAATTTTCGCAAATGAACTATATTCAGAGGTTCACAAAATCAATTTTTGCCAATTTCCAATATTCTGCCCTCTTATACTGACTGTATTAAATAAGAATTTCATTTTGCAAATTTTAAAAATCTGCAAAACTTGCAAATTTATTATCCTCAAAAAAAATCTCTATATGGTACACACACACACACACACACACACACACACACACACACACACACACACACACACACACACACACACACACACACACACACACACACACACACACACACACACACACACACACACACACACACACACACACACACACACACACACACACACACACACACACACACACACACACACACACACACACACACACACACACACACACAC